GAGAGAGAGAGAGAGAGAGAGAGAGAGAGAGAGAGAGAGAGAGAGAGAGAGAGAGAGAGAGAGAGAGAGAGTTGACAAACCGGGGCATTCACAATTGTGTTTTGCTGTTTTCTCTCTTTTTCCCATTCCCTTCCTTTTAGTTTTGAACTTCGATGATTGTTTAGGTTATAGAGCTTTGAATATTGTGTACGATCTTTGTTGAGTGTTTGTGTTAATGATTGTTTGTTTCATTAGGGTTCCCTCTCTTCCTTTTTTAGGCTTGTCGGGCTGTCTTCAAATACCTTGGCCGGTGAACCTTGCTCAGCTCGACAGCTGTGGCACTCTTGTGAGGGACGCTGGGCCCGGTTCCAATTTATAATAAATAAACTAAAATAAAAAATAAGTGTGTAACCAAACTCGAGTTATCAAACCTAAAAAAACAGGTTTTTCGACGAACATGTTCAGGAGGTGTTCGGCCAAACACCGGAACATGTTCAGACGTTCAGAAAAGCTCCGGACATGTTTGGTGTGCTACACATTTTTTTATTTTTTTTAAATATGTTCGACCGAACATGTTCGGGAGGTGTTCAGCCGACCACCTGAACATGTTCAGACGTTCGGAAAAGCACCGAACATGTTCGGTGTGCTACACAGGCAAAACACATACATCATGTAAAACATTCTTTCGAGTGAACTTTGGCTGACACACATCCTCGATATCATATTCTTTGAATTTATAAAAGATCGAAAACAATTATTTATATTTTATTTTTTGTTCTTTTGGGTGTGCCGCACCTAGTTTTTCTGCACCCATGTGCGGTTGCAAGTATGATTGCCACTGATGGCAGAAAAGAAGGGGAAAAGAAAAAACAGACTTCTTGGTGATAGTCTCTGCCCTGACAAAATTTGCAGTTTCTTCCTTTTTGTCCGACTGTGAAACACCAAGGGGATAGCAACTAACACCCAGACCAGGTATAGCTGGACTTCTTCAACTACCTTATCATCGGATCAGCTCAACAGCCAATGACATGGCAGCACTGTGTCCGGATCCGCAGCCATAATTGTCGCCCACATTGGCAGCTGAACCTCCATGAAAAAGAGAAATGAAATGTGTACAACCAAATTTCCCCAAAGAGTCTAGAGAATCCCTCCACAAGGTCCACAAGCAACTCTGGTGGACAAAGAATCAATGCCAGAAAGGGTCATCTCCACAATAGGAGACAGTAGTAGCTATGAAGTACAAAAAGTTGAAAAACAATGCAGCAGGAGTGCCATAAAAAATGCCAACAATGAGATGACAGAAGAGAAGCATGAACGAAAATCAATAGGACAGTTCTAAACAGATGATATAAAGAACAACACAAGACAGGTTTTTAGATCGAAACTATTCTCTCCTAGGCTACCTAGCCCTCCTTGCAGTTACTCCAATATTTTGTTATGCATCAGGCATTGTTGTAGATTTCTTCACTTGCCTGCTTATGCACACCTTACCTACCATTTCCTGAGCTCCCCCGCCACCCCGGCCCTCTTCTCCCCACGCTTCTCCTCTTCCCTGATTCTCCTTCATTTGCCTTTTGGCTATCCCCAAGATCACCAAGGTAGAAGACCCATATCTACCCACGAGATAAGTCCCAGCAATCCTTCCCGCGTTCTGCATCCAGCTCTCTTTATCGTTGTCTTGAACACCATGCAACCATGTAGTCACAAAAGTCACAAAGGCCGCATACACCGATCATGTCGATCAGTCGAAGCTGCACCCTCTTCTTCGAGTTCCCTACACTGCCGTCCCTGGATGAGTCCTGCATCAACTCTTCTCCGGCTTCTTCCTTGTTCATCAATTCTACCGCCCTAGCTTTACTACACATTCTATCTTTTCCTCCGCCCTTGCCCCCACCGTTTTGGCCACCGTTACCACCACCTTTGCTGCTGCCGCCGTCACCCTCTTGAGTCTGGCCTCCACCACCAACATCTCGTCCCCTCTTCTCCGGATACTTCTGCCCACCAAACGCAAACCCACTTTGACTCGAAGACGTACCAGACCCCCCAGCTGCCTCCTTCACACCCCCACCACAACCACTCTTACCACCCCCACCACCTTTCTCTGTTCCACTAGATTTTGTGGCACAGTGTGCCTCTTTTCCTTCATTGGTGGTGTCACCACCACGGCCAGCGTGACCACCACCAATGGTGAGTCAATAATCCCCACTACTATCATCGTCCACATCATTGTCTGCCAAGTCCATGTCGTTGTCATCATCCATCCCCGGGTCTCCCACATACGGTCCCACACCTGGCCCAGGCGTTCTTGCCTCCTGCAAAATCCGCATTATCTCCACCTCCGACTGCACTGGATACTGATCGTCGTATGCTGCATCATGATTATGCGCTCCATCCATCAGATCTGCAGGGAGGTTTCGAATGAACCAGGGGTGCATGCGGATCTCTGGTATTGTAATCCTCTGCAACACATACAGGCGAATATGCTGATCAACTTAACAACTCCAACACATACATACTGTTTGACGTTTTCCCCAAATCTCGCTGTAGCCTGTACGCCCCCCCCCCCCCTCGTAGCCAAAACAACAAAGCCAGAGCGCGCACGTGGACTCAGAGAAACTAGCCCTCTCCTTAATGCATTCACACACAATCATATTACCTTATTTCATTTCTTCATATCGTTCTAAGCATTTTTTTTTTGTCCACTTTGCACACACTCTCTGGTCTTTCCCATCATAGACAACCTTCAAGGTGTGCCAAATAATCACTGCCCAGAAGTGAGGTGGGTTCAGAGAGCGCCAGGTATGGAAATGGAGCTGTGTTAGGCTCCTGCGCTCCGAAAAGGCGGGGCGAGCAAGGGGAGGGAAGTTCGTAGCAGATAGGCTAGTTCAGGGTAGGAAGGCTAGAAGTGGATGTCGTATTTCATGTAAAGAAAAAGTAGCACATCTGTGTTCCCTAGTGATTACACAGGATGCTTGTGTGTCTGTGTTTCCTGGTGGTGACATACCTACACACAACACACCCTCACCCTCACCCCCGTCCCCACCCCCACCCCCACCCCCACCCCCACCCCCGACACACACGCACACACATCTCTCACACAGACAGACAGACACACACTATCACTTTGTCTATTTATGTCTTCCTCTTCTTCTGAGTGTTTTCTTCATGCCATGCACACTTGATTGGCCTGTTTTCTTGCCTGCGCACTGCCTCCCATTGCATGCTCGCCTGCTCGCGGCACTACATGTCTGGCCGTTTCTTGGCTTGCTGATTTATTGTTTCCCGTCATGCGCTCCACACACCCCCTGCTTTTTACTGTTTCCTGCTTTGTCTCGCCAATCATCTTGTCACCTACCTGGCCGTCCACACACAACAGCGGTCGGAATAGACTGACTGTATCTGTGTATTCCTGCCCGTTTCTTCGCCTGTGGGTGGACACACACATGCCTCAGTTTGGCTGCAGCACATCTTCCTTGTTTCGACTGCCTGCCCAGCGTGTCGTGTTGGTTCCATCATCTCTCTTCTGTGTTTGATTCCTCTTGGTTGCACCGTTTGGTCTTCCAGTGCGCCTTGGAAACACCTTTTTTTCTCTGTCATGGTGTGTTACAGAGCTTCTCCAACCTTATGTTGCGTCATCGAAAGCCCAGAACAACATTGCCCCCTATCGGATCCATAGCCCGAAAGCCTGCGCAAAGCCATGCTAGTGAGGCTCAGCGCACTGTGGACCCTGCAGATGCCCAAATGCCCTGACGATAAACCGCCCTACCCACTGATAAAAACAAGACGTGTGCTGAAGTTCAACAAAATTTACAATGTATTCTTTCTACATCGAGTCGCTACTCTCCCTTCCGCTTGCCCTCACCCTCTTCTTTCTCCTCCCCCAGTTGCCACTCCTCATTCTTCCGCATCTCTTCTTTCTTCGTCCAGTCACTACTCCTCGCCCTTCCACTTGTCCTCACCCTCTTCTTTCTCCTTGCCCTTGTCATGCCCCCTGATCATCCTCCTCAGTGTCCTACTTCGACGAGCGGGAGAAGGAGCGGGAGGAGGAACATGGGGAAGAGCAGGGGAAGCAGCGGGAGAAGGAGAAGCAGCAGGAGGGAGAGCGGGAGAAGGAGGAGGAGCGGCAGGGGAAACGGGGAGGGAGTTAGGAGCGGGAGAAGGAGCACGAGGAGAAACGGGAAGGGGCGGAGGAGGCGCGGGAGGAGGGGCGGTAGAACGAGCGGGAGGAGGAGCGGGAGGGGAAACGGGGAAGGGGTTAATGAACGCGCGGGAGGCGGAGGAGGGGGAAAAGATATAGGTGGAGGAGGAGAGGCAGGAGCAGCACGAGGATGAGCGGGAGGAGCGGGAGGAGGAACGGGGGAAAGAGCAGGAAGCAGCGGGAGAAGGAGAAGCAGCAGGAGGGACAGCGGGAGAAGGAGAAGGAGGAGGAGAGGGAGGAGCAGCAGGAGAACGAGCGGGAGCGGGGCTATGGCGGGATGTTTGTCACGTTCTTTGGCGGAGGAGGAGCGGGAGGAGGAGGAGGAGGAGGAGGAGCGGGAGAAGGAGCGGGAGGAGGCGTGGGAGAAGGAGCGGGGAAGGAGCTGGAGCGGGGCTATGGCGCAGGAAGAGGAGCGGGAGGAGGGCGAGGAGGAACGGGGGGAAAAGCAAAAGAAGCAGCGGAAGGAGGACGAGCAGCAGGAGCAGCGGGAGGAGAAGCAAGAGAGGGAGCAGGAGAAGGAAAGGGAGGAGGAGAGGGAGGAGGTACGGGAGAAGGAGCGGGAGTGGGGCTATGGCGGAATCTTTGTCACGTTGTTTGCCGGAGGAGCGGGAGGAGGAGGGGGAGGGGATTCAGGATGGGGTTGCATCTCACAGCCCCTTGCTCCATACTCTCCTTCTCATTTTGCACATTCGAAGGCTGCTCAGTTCATGCACACATGAAACTGTTGAAG